GTGGATCATCATAAATCTGGCCCAACCCCTGCTTCCTCAACTTTGCATTGTATACCTAACTGTGTCTAATGATTTAAATTATTTTTACTGTTATTAGCATCAGAAGGAGCTGGAACTGACCCGTTTGAAGCAACAAATTGAAGAGGAAAAGGTATGATTAACTTTTTTCATCTGACCCAAAGTTTACTTTTCTGGAGTAAGCAACTATGCTGCAATTGTAAGCACATATTGTTCCTCATGTTCCCTGATATGTGCTTCCAATCAAAACCCCGATGAATAAGTTTGATTTGGAAGACCCATAAATCTTCATTGTGAAATGAAATTCACATTCTCTATTCATTGGTTAATACACCGTAGTTACTATTGTTACTTTTAGATTCTCGGTGTTTTTGTTTAAACTACTATGGTGGTATACTCCTTTGTGGGTTTGACTTTTCAGTCTTACCATTTATTTGCTTAATGGAATCACATATCATTTCACTTCCACAGACAAGTGTATCTAGTGAAATTAGTTTACATTAGAACTGTTCTAAAAATAAAATTTTGCAATTTGTATTTACTTCTGGTTTCAGCGCACTTTGTCAGCTCTACAAGCTAAAGCAGAAAGTGAGATAAGGAGGGCACAGAAACTTATTTCTGAAAAAGATGCAGAACTAAGTGCTGCTGAAGAAAGCCTTTCAGGGCTAAAGGAGGTATTTTCTCTGTTATGTTTGCTACTATTTTTCTACAAATTTGGGAATTGGAAGTTGGGACAGTGTTAAACTTCGAGTGGAATTTGTTAATGGATAAATTGGTTTTAAAAACTACTATCAAGGTGCCAATTCAGAGAACCACCACAACAGTAAAAACAACTTTTCAAAAATTCAGTTTCAAACCAAATCAATTATCCTTAGTGAGAAGGGAAAGATAGTTTGGCCTGGGCAACAGGTCCAGGTTAATCTTATGGATGAACTTGTATCGGTTGTAACCCAAAGTGTTGTGTATTTTCTAAATCTTCACTGGTTGGTAATCGCTAATTTTTGATAGGTTGAAATCCAATATCAAGTTGAGGGTGAAAGTGTGGAGGTAGCTGGAAGCTTCAACGGTTGGCATCATAAAATAAAGATGGATCCACAACTACAAGCATCATCAAGTATCATAGATCCCTCTGGTGTAAGGTTTTGATTCTGCTCCTTGCTCTTTCAGCAATGACTATATATTGTTTGTGATTTCCGCTCACTTATTATTTGTTTAGTATTACTCAACCTCAAACCTTGTGAATAAAAGTAGATCAAATACTACAAATCAGTAAAAATTTAAACCTTTGCAGGAAATGTCGACTTTGGAGAACTGTCTTGTGGCTTTATCCTGGGATATATGAGGTGCAAAGTCTAAAAACTTATCTTTCTATGTTATTGTAAACTACTTTTCTCAAATGAGAAGTATCTCTGCTACTTTTGAACATCGTAATCTGTGTTTTTCCTTTTTTTTTAAGGTTATGTACTTGAGATCGTTTCTCACTGAACTATTGACAGATAAAATTTGTTGTCGATGGCCATTGGAGAACTGATCCGGACAGGGAATTAGTTACAAGGGGTGCCATAGAAAACAACGTACTACGAGTTGAGAGATGAGATTTGCTGTTGCTAAGAACACGTCTCAGTCATGAGCTGATAGAAGTACTTAACCGAGTAACTTCATTCTTATCAGTTTCTTTTCAATTGTGGCTCATTCTAATTCTATGTTTCCAGGGCTGCACTGCAAAAGGTTGATCACAGATGGGGTGAAAGACTTTTCCAGGATCAAACTGCTCGTGTTTTACCAGATGGCTGTGCTGCAACGGAAACAACCCAGATTGGGGAATCAATACATAAAGCTATCATACATACCCTTCATTTAGACATATTGTGTAGCTAAAAGCCTGTAAATTGAGTCAATGGCTACCTGTGCAACTCGAAAATATAAAGGTTCCCTTTTAGATTACTGCTAGGAGTCTTATACCAATGAATAGTTGAGTCTGCTGTATTCTTTACACCATTGTGCTGGAGACAGTGCAATACTTGTAAATTATTGTTGCATTTCTGCTTTGTCAATTAGAAATTTCTTTAGTTGCAGGGCAAGTGTTTAGCACCTCTGGTTAAGTGGCTGGAACATAGCATCTACCCTACAGTTTCTAGGTTGGTTTGAGGCAGTCAACAATGGTCAATCTAGACTGGTTTATTTCTTTGTGATTCTTTGCCGGTTAGGATTACAATTTACAAGACGGGATTTACCTAGTATACACTCTCGAGTAGTAATTGCAGGTTTCTTTCCCCATCTTTAAAAAAAAAAAAAAAAAATCCAATCTTGATACAAAATGTCCAGTCTTTTTCTGAGTGGTGCAGGACTGCAGGGATCCAATATCATTGGAGAAAGCCCAAACAACATAATATGATTATGAGTGAAGGGAGTGTTGCCTCCACGTGTAAATGATTATAGAGCACACTCGTGTCTCTTTCCTTGCCTTTCCTCTTCTTCTTCTTCTTTCTCACTCTATCTTCAAACTCCAGAGCTCTCTGCGCACAGACATAATCCAAGAATACTTGAAAAAAAATGGCTTTAATGGTGAATGCTGCTTCCTTACTTGGTGTAGGTCAACACCCATTTCCTTCTCTTGGGCTAACTTCATCTTCTCCCAGAATTCCCTCTTCTAATTCTTTTAAATCTCCATTACTGATTCATGGAGCCAAAACAAGGGCAGTTTTTCCACCTGTTTTTGCTTTGAAGAATAGGTGTAGCTCTGAGGTTGCTGTTGATATAATAGTTGAAGACGAAGAAGATGAAGCAGTGACAGAGAAACCTCGTACTGAGACTCTGCTGTACTCCTTCACTCCTTCGCCATTGCTGTTTGTGGCTGCTCTTCCAGGAGGTAATGTTAGTGTTAATCACCCCAGAAATGAAAATCTTGGCAATTTAAATTTCAAGTCATCTTTCAACATGCTTTATATCTGTTAAATTGTACATACAAGTTGCATTGTTGAAACTGATGATTTGAATTCAGCTGGAGCTGTGAGGTCTGTGTTTGGACCGTTCGTTGAGGTCGTTAAATCATTGAACCTTCCTGACTGGCTCGTGCACTGGGGCCATCCCGGCAACATGGTACACTTACTGTCTGTTTGAAGGAAATTCCATTCCATTGATCCAATTAAGATTGCATCTACTGTCACTTATTTAGTGTTCCCTACTAAATGCTGTTATTGTTGTTGTTCCACTTTATAGGCTGTTGTGCTCTTTGCCATGGGTGGTTATGGAACTTACCTGGGATTCAGAATCCGGTTTTCTAATGATGTGGTAACAACTATGCAAAATCTATCTTTTGTATTCAAAACTGGGTTCTTGAATGTCCATCTGTTTATATTTATAGTTCGGGTCTGTCTCTAAATTGGGTATAGGAATATCGAGGCAACTTATGAAATCGTTTCTAAGATAGTGACATATATTGCCATGACACAGAATAGTGGTACATATATAGTATTCATTCAAATTGGTGTACAATATAACGTGTAGGAGGAAAAAGCAAAAGCCAAAGATTTGCATCCCAAACTCCTTGCTGGAATGTTCTTCTTCTTTGCTCTTGGAGCTACTGGAGGGATAACTTCTTTGCTCACTTCAAACAAACCCATCTTGGAAAGGTAATGTAATTAATTTCTTTCCTCAGATGGATTAAGTTAACCTTATTTTCATCAAAATACATGTCATCCTAAGTGTCTGTACGTCTGCAATTCTTGCAGCCCTCATGCAGTGACTGGCCTCATTGGCCTATCTCTTCTGACCATACAGACACTCTTGCCTGCACTTTTTGAGGTAAAAACTGTTCAAGCTATATTTCTGCATCTCATCTCCTTGGTCAAAATATGATTATTGTTATAATATAATCTTGATTTCTACACATGATATGGTACTATGAATTTGTTCAGGGAAACCCCGGATTGAGGAATGTTCATGGCATACTGGGGAGTGGAATAATGACACTATTTCTTGTCCACTTTGCCCTCGGATTACAGCTTGGCCTGAGTTACTAGGGGCATGCATCCAGATTTGATACTAATTCTTTAATGAAATCACCGACACAAAATAATTGATGAAAGATAGGTTGATATTTTCCGGCAGTTGGCTTGGTGCATTACCTTATTTAAATCAAAAGAGAGACAATGAATTGATGTTACCTTTATGAATCACAAGATTCACGGCAAGTTGGCATGTTAGCCTTGACGTGCACCGCGTTACTTTGATTCAACGTTTTTGTTTTTTCTCATGGATTCCCATTCCCATCACAGATCCCAATTATTGAACTCAACATCACAATATATTACATTAAAAAAACATGGCCAAGGTGAAATACTTTTTAACTTTTGCTAAGATTCAAATTTTATACTCGGCTAGCAAAACATGGTCACTTTTGAACCGTCAATTGTAAGATTTTTTTTTCCATTGTTTAATAAAGCTTTGTTTTGAAGAAAAAAAAAAAAAAAGAAAAAAAAGTCAACACATTGAGTACATTGTTAAACTATATATTCTAAAAGTATGGAGTATATCTTTTTATAACCTAACAACTTAAAACGATAATTGATGTAATTATAACAAAGTTAAAGATGAATCCTTAACTTGTATGTATACACTTGACAACCTATCATTCATTGGATTTAGAACAATGACATCATTCACCTAGCTACAACGTTAGGTTGTAGTCTATTGAATTGTTTAACTATGAAAATGATTTACACCAACACCACCAAACCTACCAAACATATTTTGTAAAGGTCCATTAACATAGTGAGGGTAAAGAATTTCAACAACCACCATCATCAACGAACATGTATGGCAATCGATGCATATAGTACAAGTGCCAAATCCTAACACCGTAAATAACTAAATATGGGTGGAGAATGAATTGACCCAAGGTGGGTGGGGTGGTAGAAACTGGGAAGAAGACACTCAAGAAAGAGAGAGCCCACCGACTCAGTGGACTCGTGGAGGAGCGACTAATTCGCGCCCGCCTCATCTGTATATATACACCCACAAATCTCCACACTCTCCAAACACATCCCTCTCTCACTCTCATTTCTCTCTTGCCTCTTTCTCCCAGATCCACTCTTTCTTTCCATCCCTGCAGGTATATATGTTCTTCTTCTGATTCGCTCGCTCGCTCGTTTATGTTTAACTATGTCCATCATTGCATGCTGTTATCATTCATTTTGTTCGTGTTTACGAACTCCGGTGATGATTTAATCACATTACTGATAATAAAGTTTGTAGCTTTAATGCAATCACACCTCTTGTTTATGATTCCCTTTGTTATTTTATTATCATTGTTAAATGGTGTGATTTGTGGTCTCTGAAGTGCAGATCTGATTGCTCAACTAGTAAACCTTTATTTGAAAACGAAATGAACTGCAAGTCTGCAACTTTAGTGGTAGTGGTAGATGTGAATTTGGATTTATTAGCTTCCTGCTTATTTTAGATCTTGAATGAGTTCATAATCTATTCATATACATTTAATGTAATTCTCAAGAGTCCTTCATAATGGATGCATATTAAAGCACAGATCTGTGAGTTGAAACTTTTCCATTGATCCCAAGTGTTGTTCTGGCATTATATTTGTTTCCATTGATCTGATTACTTCAATGGGGAAACTAACAGTTGTGTTTTGGTCTGATTTTTCAGGCTAGAAATGGAAACCTTCTTGTTCACCTCAGAGTCTGTGAATGAAGGTCACCCTGACAAGCTCTGTGACCAAGTCTCAGATGCCATTCTTGATGCTTGCCTGGAACAAGATCCAGACAGCAAAGTTGCCTGTGAAACCTGCTCGAAGACGAACATGGTGATGGTGTTTGGAGAGATCACGACCAAGGCCAAAGTAGACTATGAGAAGATAGTCCGCGATACTTGCAGAGGCATTGGGTTTATCTCACCTGATGTTGGGCTTGATGCTGACAACTGCAAGGTCCTGGTGAACATTGAGCAACAGAGCCCTGATATTGCCCAGGGTGTTCATGGCCATTTCACCAAGAAACCCGAAGAGATTGGAGCTGGAGACCAAGGCCACATGTTTGGTTATGCCACCGACGAAACCCCTGAGCTCATGCCTCTTACTCATGTCCTCGCTACCAAGCTTGGTGCTAAACTTACAGAAGTAAGAAAGAACAAGACTTGCCCTTGGCTCAGACCTGATGGCAAGACTCAGGTTACTGTTGAGTACAGGAATGACAATGGGGCTATGGTCCCTATTAGAGTTCACACTGTTCTCATCTCAACCCAACATGATGAGACTGTTACAAACGAGCAAATCGCCAAAGATTTGAAGGAACATGTAATCAAGCCTGTGATCCCATCTCAGTACCTTGATGACAATACCATCTTCCACCTTAACCCATCAGGCCGTTTTGTCATTGGTGGTCCACATGGAGATGCTGGACTAACCGGGCGAAAGATCATCATTGACACCTATGGTGGATGGGGTGCTCATGGTGGAGGTGCCTTCTCAGGGAAGGATCCTACCAAGGTGGACAGAAGTGGTGCTTACATTGTCAGGCAAGCAGCAAAGAGTGTCGTTGCCTCAGGACTTGCTCGCAGATGTATTGTGCAGGTTTCATATGCTATTGGTGTGGCTGAGCCACTTTCAGTGTTTGTTGACACCTACAAGACTGGGAAGATCCCAGACAAAGACATTCTGGCTCTTATCAAGGAGAACTTCGACTTCAGGCCCGGAATGATCACAATCAACCTCGACTTGAAGAGAGGAGGAAAGTTCAGATACCAGAAGACTGCTGCCTATGGTCACTTTGGGCGCGATGATGCTGATTTCACCTGGGAGACTGTCAAGATCCTCAAGCCCAAAGCTTGAGTTAGCCCCCATTCACCATTCAATTTTTCTGCACATTGATTTACTGCACCTATTGTCCTGGTTGCAGAGGAATAAAGAAACTCCATTGAGTGGATGTGCTCGCCTTGTTAAGGATTTTGAGCCTTCCTAGATGTCTATCCATTTTATTTTTTTCTTTTTGTTGAGTTTCTTTGTATCCTATATGTCTTTGCTTTGATGCAGTTATCAATTGAAATTATACTTTTCAGTTCCTCTTTTCTTGCTGTTGACAGAGTAAAATCTTGCCTATAAATCAACATTTATATTGTGATATGTCATGTCAAATGATTTCCATGTTCATAAATTTAATTTTATAAATGAAACCTGTTTTTAGGAAACTAGATAAAGAGTTGCAGCAAATTCATTCTCTTCTTTCTTAGATTCTTTTGCTTCCATGGCAGAACAGCACCATGCGTTCAGCCACTATCTTAAAGATTTACAAACTAACGCGCCCCCATCTTTTCTTGATACAACACTGCTCAAGCATGAGACAGGTAATGGAATTCCATGCTCATTTTATCACAAGTGGCTGCTCCAAAGACGCCATTTTTCTTAGCTCCATCATCTCCTTCACTGCACTCTCTCCTGCCGGAGATTTGGACTATGCCCACTCTGTTTTTAGCCGCGTAAATGCACCCAATGCTTTCATGTTCAACACCATGATTAGAGGCTATGCTTCAAGCTCTGATCCTGGTCGGGCTATTGTTCTTTACAATGGGATGCTCAGGTATGGCATTGCCCCCAATAATTACACCTTCCCATTTGTGATCAAAGCTTTATCAAAGGGTAAATTTTGCTTGCATGGTGAAGCTATTCATTGTTCTGTTATAAAATATGGGCATGTTTTGGACCTTCATGTTGCAAATTCGCTCTTGAATATGTATGCAAGTTTTGGGTTGTCAAATGAGGTAAGCAAAGTGTTTGATGAAATTCCTGAACCAGATGTAGTTTCTTGGAATGTGATCATTGATGACCTATCTCAAAACGGTTGCCTTGATAATGCTTTGTGTGCATTTACTGAGATGTATCAACAAGAGGAGGTTGAACCTAATTCGGTCACATTTCTTGCCCTTGTCTCTGCTTGCACAAAAACCACTGATTTCTATACTGGGAAATTGATACACTTGCATATAATTATGTCAGGAATTAGTATTAGTGAAAATCTTGGAAATGGGTTGCTTGATATGTATTGTAAGTATGGAGATCTGGATTCAGCTGAGAAAATGTTCAGTAGGATGCAAGTGAAGACTGTGTTTTCATGGACTTCACTGCTTGATGGCTATATACAAAAGGGTGAAGTTGAAAGAGCCATGGTGATTTTTCATCAGATGCCAATAAAGGACACAACTGCTTGGAATGTCATGCTTAGTGGTTTTGTAGAGGCAGGTGATGTGAATTCAGCTGAGAAGATTTTCGGAGAAATGCCAGAAAGGGATTTGGTGTCATGGAACAGTATGATCATTGGATATGCCCAGAACAATAAACATATCCAGTCTTTACAACTGCTCAAAGAAATGCTAAATTTGGGTATGGGACTTGATAGGATTACTCTAGCCGGGGTGTTTTCTGTGTGTGGGTATACAGGATCACTGTTTCTTGGGGAATCAATCCATTGTTACATGGAGAAACAGAACATAAAGGGAGAAGAAGTCGAGGCGGCTCTGATGGGCATGTATTCCAAATGTGGCGCTTCTGGAGAAGCTCTGAAAGTGTTTGAAATGATAGCAACAAAATCAGTGTTAGCTTGGACTGTCATGATTGTAGGATTAGCCATGAATGGTCTTACAAATGAAGCCCTGAGTTACCTTCATCAAATGTGCCAGGCAGGAGTAAAGCCAAACGAGATCACGTTTTTAGGAGCTCTGTGTGCCTGCAGCCATGCTGGTCTTGTGGAAGAAGGCAAGCGTTTGTTCAGTTCCATGGTTCAGGTTTACGGCATAACACCAAGGTCTGAGCACTACAGTTGCATGGTGGATCTTCTTGGTCGGGCTGGTTTACTGAAAGAAGCAGAGAAGTTCATTCAAGATTTGCCTGCAGAAACAGATGCTGCAGGCACCTGGGGAGCACTTCTTGGAGCTTGTAGAATGCATGGCGGCGATGTTCAAATGGCAGAAAAAATCGCCAGATTACTGACTGAAATCGACCCGTTTCATTCAGGCAGATATGTCCTTCTCTCCAACATCTATGCTGCAGAAAACAGATGGCATGATGCTGAGAATGTGAGGAAGAAGATGAAGGCTTCAGGTGTTCAGAAAATGCCAGCCTTCAGCTTCATTGGACTCAATTGAATGGCAAATTATTTAGTGGACTCGGATCTAAAAATACACAATTTATATACTAAATGTTCACAAATTTTATATGCTAAATGTTCACAATTTACATACTGAATGTTTACATACTAGATTATGAACATTCAGTATATAAATTGTGTATTTTGATCTGGGTCTACCTTGCAAGGTGTACCAGGGTCCATGCATAACTATTGCAACTGAATGGACTGGGCTGCCTTCACTCACCCATTGGACAATTACTAATGGACCAAACCCATTGCAAAGCCCAACAAGACTAAGCATATAAACCCATCCAACCGTATTAATTTTCTCTGTATCGTTTCAATTTTATCACATATTTTCGGGGACAAACTAGAATTGTTATTAGGAGGTAAAACATAGATAAGGATGTTTGACCTATTTAAACCAGAAACACCTGTAGTATCACTTTCAATTGAAAACTGAAAACACAAAGGTATCTTAGAATTACAAATTTGTTCTTATTTGGTTTTCCATTTTGGTACATAAGCACTTTTTTTTTTGGAAAGTGGTACATAAACACATATGTATATATATATATATATATATATATATATATATATATATATATATGCACATTAAAGCTCCTAACCACTTATCTATACAAATAATACAAATTTTAAAATAATTATCTTTCTATCTAACTATATAGGAGAGATAAATCATACTGAAAAGACTTATTATTATATTACATGTGCTATTTTTCATTTTCAATTTGACAGTTATTTTGATGTGATGATACATAATTAGTTGCATTTCAGTTTTGATATAACAATATAGAATTAATGCGATTAATTTTGAGTCGGTAAATTAGTATTAAATGTAAAATTACTTGTGAGTATAAATATTGGTTTTTATTTGATGGCCGACACTACAGAAGAAAGCAATTATATGAAAATATAATGGATCTTGTAAATGGAGTACGTAGTACAAGATGAAATGTGGCCATGGCTAAAACACAGTCAAAAAAGTCAACGTCCTACTTGTCGATTTCTAGTAGGCGCGAATTCTGGGCCCTCCTATGACCAATGTCACCACTCTCCTATTTTCCAAATATGATTTAACCATCAAAAAGTATATATTATTAAAATATAAATAAATTTGTGGTGGCAATGTATTTTCTGATTTTTATTGCCCTTTCCCAGTACCAGTAGGTTTCAACATTTATTGCTTCAGTATATGTCTCAATTTTCTATTCCTAAAATGACACTTCCTATCACTCTCCTTATAGATATCATAAAATTGGGCAATGTTAACAAAATAAATAAACCGACGGTAGGCACCTCCAAAAAGAAAGAAAGATATTTCTTTATGCAAAAATAGGGAGAGAGGATTTGAATCATGACACTTTCATCGAGACTCAAACTCATCACCTCCCACATAAAGGAATAATTTGGTACCATTAAATCACAAAGTGCTTGATTCATGACCAATTGTTTAGATAGATTCTTTTATTGCGATTCAAAAAATATAATAAATTTTTTTTAGAAAAATAGGTCAAATAGGCCATCGAATTTTAGCTAAAAAGTCAGTTAGTCCTTTCAACTTTTTAAATGTGCAATTACACCCATCAACAAATCATTTTGATGCAACGAGGCAAACTGATACCAGCTCAGATTGATGAAATAATAACAGTGTATTTATTGATCGTAGATTACAGGGCTACTTGTACACAGAGATTAGCAGAAAGATAGGTAAGTGTTACACTTTTACCTTTAACCAATACTTAACAATCTAACTAACACAATGAAGCTCAAAAATCAGTAAATGACCTCCTATCACATGTCATTAGGGTCTGCCCACCCTCCGGTAAAAATTTCAGGTAAAAAAGTGACCGACAAACAGTCGCCAGTATAGATAAGGCGACCAAGGTCGTGTTCTCAACCGGAGAAGGCAACCCATATCTAGGTCGTCTTCTCCTTCTCCGTGACTGGCGACTGTTCGCCGGTCGCCGGTCACTTTTTTGCCTGAAATTTCCATCAGATGGTGGCCGGATCTTTAAGAGTTGTGATAGCAGGTCATTTATCAATTTTTAGGCTTCATTGCATCAAAATGATTTGTTAATAAGTGTAATTACACCTTTAAAAAGTTGAAGGGACTAATTGACTTTTTAGTTAAAGTTCAAAGGTCTATTTGATCTTTTTCCTAAAAACTAATATATAAATGAACACCACTCTTTAGTATATCATTGATGTCATTGTAAAATGTTCCGTAACGATTTGTTCAATTGTGCATATTCATAGAAAGTAAATAGACGCGCAAAGAAGATGTTCCCAGTCGTCCTTGCTTCTACCTTAGTAGGTTTGCAAATTTATGATGACCCTCTCAAAGAGATTGATTCACTCATCGTGATTCAAAGATATGAAAAGAATATAATGATTAAACACCTTTCTTTAATATAATATCATTGATGCCATGTGTGCTATTCGTTGCAATGACTATATTTGCTTTATTATACATGTCCACATAATCATAAATAGAGGTGCAAACTATATGTGGTCTTGTTTGGTGCTCTTTCAAAAGAATTGGTCATATCAACTAATAGTTTATTGAGTTACCATGATTTAATTTACCAATTTACAATCCTGTTAAATTAAAGTATGAAATTTTTTAAGCGGGAGATTTACCATTAAATTATGCTTCCACTGCAGTAAAAATGTGGCATATAATATTAGACAATTAATGAGGCCAATAAACGCATGTACTTGAAGCTTCAGAGATCTTGTTTGTTTTAATTTCCAACTCGAAGATTGCAATCTGATTTCCTTTGTTACTTACATTTGCAAGTTGCAACGACAGACCACACTCCAACAACTAATTTGTACAGTAGTACATAAGATCATCAACTGTGCTTGAGGACTCATCATTAAAAAGAATATAATACAGCAAAACAAAAAGAGAAA